CTGTTATATTACTTTAATATGGACACATGGTTAATATCAAGTAGGATGCTAATAATTTCTTGCCTCATAGCAAGCAAACCATATTTGCAGTTTTAGAAAGGTGGTGAGAAGTGATGGGGGCTTTGAGTTCCTCAAAGATACGATTCTGCCTCAGGGAAGGTGAATGGTTTCTCTGTCCTCTCCTGAATGTAAAAAAGCAAGCCTGTCTTCCTACGTTACAGAGTATTATCTCATTTACTTGGCTACAACACACACCTGAATATACTGTTACCTGTACAAAACGCCTCTGAACAGCGATTCACCTGTGCCTCAGGGGTGTTTGGGGACCAGGTCCCAGCCTCGTCCTGTGGGGCTGCTCATAGGCACCTGCCGCCTGTGACAGGCTCTGCCCCGCATGGGCTGCTGACCGCTGAGACTCCTGAGAAGGCACTAGGCTGAGGAATGGCAAGTGTGGAGAAACAGCCTGGGGCGGTTGGCAAAGGGCCTTCTGACCCCTCAGGTTACTGTCGCTTGGTTGGAGGGGAGAGACCCAAAGGTTCATCCCTTTGAGGAGCTCCTGTGTGGCCTTTTCCAGCTAGGTTGCTTGCCTTAGGGAAAGGAAGGGTGGGAAAGCCAGGGTATCGGGGCAGAATCCAAAGTGAGGATGTGGCTCAGAAGGGCACCATGACTCTGTTTTTCCTTTATCACAGGGAGAAGCATAGAGCAGAACCTGCTCATGCTCTGCTTCAACTTCCTTCCCCACAGCATTCAAAAACCCCACAGGCAACATCTTCTCAGGCACTGGCTCCCTCAGCCCTGCTGCCAGCCCTCGTTCTACACTTTTCCTGGCAGCATCACAGGAGAAACTGGAAAGAAGCAGAGGGGAAACCCTCCTTTCCCTCGCAGGAACATTTCTGCCTTTTGCCAGCCGTAGCGGATTGCTGCCTGTTGGGGGAAGGCTAGGCTAGGCTTAGGGCTATCGTCACGGCTTTTGCACTGGGGAGGCAAGAGGCCTGCAAATGCTCTGTCGCACTTTCTCTGGCTGGCTGGCTGGGCAGAAGTAGGCCACGAAAATTCTGGCTTGGGTTTAAACTGCATTTTTGAAATTTATGAAACCACCATCTTTCAGGCTCTCTAGACCTCACCTTTCCCAGCCCAAACCCCAAGATGATGTACACGTAGAAACCCTCTCGCAGCTGGAGCTACCGAAGGACGATGTGGAGGCTGCTGGGGCAAGCTTCCCTACCTGCAACTTTTCAGACCTCACCTTTGCTCACGTTCCACCTGAGCCTGCCCCCAGCCTCCTCTTGGCACCCGCTGGGAGCCGTTCCCCACGTCCATCCTGCAGCTGTTGACCAGCACAAGGGTGGGTCTGTTCCTGCCCCACACCCCGTGACCCAGTGGGCAGGGCACAGGGAGCCCAAGTGCAGGAGGGGTGGGAACTGCTCCTACTCCCCCTCTGACCCAGCTTTCCCTCCCTGCCAGCTGCTTCCTCCTTCCTCCCAGTCATTCCTTGCTTTTCATTGTACCAACCTGCCCTGTCCTTCTCTGTTCCATTCCTCCACCCCAAACTGCAGCTTGAGAAGAAAGGCTTTTTTCCTCTGCCACCCCGGTTCCTCTCTGCCACTTCCCAGAGAAGATCTGTCAGCCCAGGGTATGGCAACCCGTTGGCAAGCTGAGGGATTACAACCTCGTCCTCTAACCTCCAAAAGGACGGGGAAATAGTGCGGGTACAGCATTTCCCTGAGAAACTGAAACAAGACACATCCAAGGGACAGAAATTGCTTTTATTGAAAACATTCTAAAAGGCTATTTATAAAATGCATTTCATCGTCTGCACTTGGAAACAATTCACGAACGCACAGCTGGTGAGGCATCTTACGCTCTCGGAATTTCAACTCACAAAACAAGCTTTAGCTCTGTAACTTTGTTACACACCTAACACTGCAGGCAACCATACTCTGATTTCAAGGATCGTTTGAAGAAAGATTTCAGCCTGAAAACATCAATTTGTTTAAAGAGAGACTTTTGGTAAGCAGTACATGTGCATACCTGGAACTATCCACTTCATACAGTGGACTCATCTTTAAAATTCGATGGTTTGTGCCAAAATACAGTACTAAAAATCAAAAGACACAAAATAAATAACTTGATTGCAGAATTCACAAAACAGTTATTTAATAAATAAGGATGCATTGTGAGACATCTGACTTCTAAAAACAAAATCTGTATAGAAATCTGAATAAATACCCTTTTGTGAATTTTTATCTTTTAAAAAACAAGTAAACAACAACTCATCCTCCCTTTACAATTCCCAGATTAATACTGAAGGAGATTTAACTCCTCCAGAATGAAGGAGTACGCGAAAGACAAAAGAAGAACTTACTTCATTTATGTGCATTGAGAGTTTAACAGTTTAAAGGTACTCCCCACACTCCTACCTAACTTGTCCCAAAATTGGAAAAAGCTTTTTTAATAGTTCAACTTCACTGCAATGTGGTTCTATTTTTATACAGGTCGGCTCATTCTACACAGTGCACTAGAAAAAAAAAAAAAAAAAAAAAAAGGAAGACGAAAGACCTACTGTAACTCCAGTAGACTTTGAGATGAATTTACAGCAGGGCAGAGGGAAAGGCCACAATGACTCCAAAGACCTTGGAATATATGTTGAATTAAGTACATACATCTGTATCTGCAAAGCAAAGGCCCCAAATAGCAACTGTGTACAAGAACCGCACTCTATATTGGCATTCCTCCACAATTTCACTGAAGAGGCACTTCTTCCAACACAGGAGTTACCATTCACTCTTCATAACGGTGCAACATTTCGTTTGAACACGTTATCACGTGTTACTGGAAGTTCCATACAGACTTAGAGACAGGGTCGCTTTCAAAGAGGTACAAAGGAAAAAAAATAAAATCCTCAAATAAAAGAAAAAAAGATCACTTTGGTTTTCGAGTCGGGGAAATTAAAGAGATGTCAGCAGTATTTTGGGAATCCTCTCTGAAGTTAAACAATACTGATGGAATGGTTATGTGCAACTACAATTAAATTTAAGAGGATTTTAATTGGATTACTTCAAAGCTATGTTTAGACAATAGCTGTGCAAACAGCTGAATCAGCACAACTGATTTACCGCGGTGCCGTAAATCAGGCCTACTGCCAGGAGAATAAAAAGCCTATTTTAATATAGTCATAGGTTAAACAATAAATCTAAGCCCCGCACTTTATCTTGGCAAGCTTAATACAAACAAAATTATTCTGGAGCGCACAAGAAAATGCTCAGAACCACCGGGTACTAGAGCTTACCTGACTAAGGCTGGGTTGACATGTTGAAGCCAGTCTCAGCTGAATAAAGTGTTTTCAGTGTAGAAAGTTCTTTAAGTATTGATTTCACCCTCCGAAGAGAGCAGAACCATCACCAATTTTTTTTTTCCGGACTTTTTTTTTTTTTTTTTTTTTTTCCCCCGTGCATTTGCTAGACAGCTGGGTAGCCAACTGTTTGCCTGAAGCCCTAAGAAGCGCTGCCTCAAATCCCGAGTTACACGCGCTGCTTCCTTCCCAAGTGAACAGCTACAATCTCTCATCTGTGTGCTGTTCAGAGCGGGGACGGGACAAAACTTAAACCAGAGATACGAGCTAAAAAGTAGGAAACAGCTGGGTGAATTTTCATTTACTGGGACCTACAGGAACTAGACTTCACCCAGGCGGTCCCTTCTGTCCCACACTTTCTCCACAAACGCTTGGCTTGGGGTACTCGCGGGGAAAGATGTCACACACTTGCAGTTGTGCAACAATGGAATTCGTGTCGGTCAAGCTCCAGGGAAGATACAGAGGTGTGGCTTTAAGACACGTGAGATTACTGCAGTTTTCAAATAAGGCGGGGGGAGGTATGAACAGTTGGCTGCGCACCCTTGTTCTCTGCGGAGAACATCAGTGGTACGGCGGCAGCACCTCTATTGCTCACCATCAAAACCGGCTCAGGAAGCCAGCCCTCGCAGTCACGCTAAGCAACCCGACGTCGGCAAGAGCCAAGTTTCTTAATACGGTTCGGCCGAAACGTGAGGCCATTTGCCACGTAGGCTCAGTAATACCATTAGGCTGTTACGAACAGCAGAAAAATCAAGTGAACGCGAAAGCCTCATTCAAGCTGCAATGTGCCTTTCAGAAAGGTGCTCAAATGACACGATTTAATAAATAAATTGAAGCTCAACACTGCTAGTGCTATGTGCGTTAACGTTGCTTCACATTCTTTCAAAGTAAATACACTGGACCTGGCAATACCTACAGTACCACACCACGCCACCTCTAACCTTTGGTCACACTCCCTTTGTATTTTAAACATACACCTCTTCAGGATTTGCTAATAAAATTTAGCAAGAAAATGTTTGAGTGTGTCATCACTAGCATTTTCATCCAATATCCAATCTACAAGCAAATACAGGACGCTTCAGAACTTCAAAAACCACCCGTACCTTTAGAGTAACATCTAGCTCTAACAGTTTGGCATCCAGTAACACCTAACTGGAATAGATTAAAAAAAAAAAAAAGGAATAAAGAAGGGCAAAAACAA